GGCCAAGAAAATGCGTGGAATTTAGGTCACGCGTGACCTTCCCGTAGCAGAAATATCCCTAAAGTCAATTGCTTGACCACGAACTTGTTTTCGTTTCTAGCTAGTGTACTACGAAGAGGAATGCAAATAAGGCCTCCTCGCCTCCAGGGCCGACACCAAGTGGTGGGAAAAAAGACGGGCTTTTAGGAAGAGAATGATCAAAATAAGCCTGAACAGGGAAGAGATATCTCAAAATCCCTTGATTCCTGACGTGTTGGCATGTCGATCTTTTTAAGGCGCCAAGGTAAGCCCCTCTTTCTCGCCCTCCGCTCTTGCTTTCCCCGCTTCGCTCACATTTTAATTTCCCGTTTCTTTTTTAGCTCGACCTGTGTTCAAGTCTAACAAGAGCAAGTTAGTGGTACTACGTAAATGTCCTGAATTTTTCTAAGCTGCTAGCGCTTTTCTTAGATTGCCATGATATAGGCTCTTTTTCAGGGCTATCAAGGCGTAGAACGCACTGGGAAATGACAAACGTACCAAGGAAGAAATTCCCATTCTAAATGTTTTAAACTCGTTGTTCGTCTTGTCCTAGCACCGCGAGTTAATCTTGCCCTCCAGAAAGGCTTTTTTTCCCACCACGTTCATAATCAGCTGTAAAAGGCCCAATGTATGATTGCATAATTTCTGTCAGCAATTATAATTTCTTAATCTAGGTTCACTTCGGCAGTTTAATATTACAATGAATTCATGATCATTTCACATTATCTCAATTTATTGTTCCATAGATTTGACGTCTTGTTTGTGTGGAACAGTTTATTTTTCTTTTTTTCTTTTCTTTTTTTTTTTTTTGGTCGCATGGCATTTTCCTTACAAAAAGAGTGACATTTGGGAAACATTTACACGATCGATTGTAGACTTTTAACGCAACTTGCGTAAGCTACCAACACTCCGCAGAAACCACTCCGAAAACGCCGTTTAAGTTTTTTGTGTGAACCAAAGCCAACTCCGATATGGTTACGTGCTGGCGTAAAACCAATCATGGCTTCAGTCGATTACCTGTATAAACTGAAGCCTTTCGTATCTTAGATCAAGTTTGCGCACTGACCTGATCGCTATTAACACAAGTTTTAAAATAAAAGAAAAAGCCATCAGAGAAACATATACTTGACTGTAACTAACCGATGCGCGAGTGAACACGAAAAAAGTCAACAGTGCTCCCTCCTATCTGCAGACGAAATAGCGGAATTTCTGACTAAAACTGAACTGAAGAAATGCAAGAACTTGCCAAAAGTATCACTCGATGGATATCATCTCAGTGCTTTTGATATCAGCAAAAAAAGCTGACATCTGTTTTAATAAATTTTGAAACCATGCCAACGGAAAGAGGTAAATGTTTTGAAGGAAGTCTACGAGGAGGAAAGGTTGTTAAAGAAAAAATTGGAGGCTCTAATTCACTCTTCACGTCATACTCAGCCTAATTCCATTACTGTTAACTTTATATATCTGGGGGAAACTATTTGGCTTAGTTGCCTATCAATAAAACAGGGACCTCTCCCTCAATAGCTGGAGGAAAGAACCTGATTTTGAAATTTCCTTAAATTTAATATAAGCATAAAAGGTGCACTCTATTGTAGCTGCTCATTTGATAGTTGATGAATCTACTGATCGATGTTATGGACATTCTTCTATTTTTCACTTAAGGAATGTTATGTATGTGACGTCCATCAATTACCATCAAGCCACCAGGCTCGTTGCCGCAAAAGTAAAAGCCTCTTGATATCAAATTACCACTCAAGAAGTTAAACGTTCCAAAAAAAAAACCTCCGTTCAATATCCCTGATGTCTATTGTGTGTACAAGAGCTGAAAATTGTCATCGACGTAATTGTTTCTACTACGGTGCAAAAGTCTGTGACGAGATACTGAAATTAAAAACCTCTCCCAGTTTTTCGCCCCTACAAATACTATATTCCTTCACTGTTAACTTCTTTGTCGTGAGAGAATTAGCAGGTATTGGGCTTTTCAAGAAAAAGTGTGTAAAAGCTGAAAAAATGCCCAGACGCTGTTAGGAGAAATTTACTGTTTTGGTTGCTTTTATCGTATCGCGTGATCTCAGCGACGGAGCGCAGAAGTATTGAGCAAGTGTTGACTTTCATAGGGGGAATCTTTAAATCTACTCATTAGAATTTAACAAAATTTGGCAGAATTCCTGTTAACATCGCACTTCAATTAATGAAAACCCAAAAATACAAGTTCAACGAAGGAGTTTTGTGACACAATAAATTTCGCATGATAGCTATTTTCTTAAAAATTTCAAAACTCTTTGTCACAATTCGGTTAATTAAATTGTTTTATAAACACATGAATGAGGATTACTAATTGTTAGCCTTCTAGCTAATTGTAAGCTTTGCGCAAATTCTTAATTAAGGAACTGAATTTTTTCGTAAACCTAGTGAATTCTGTCTAAATTTTTAGACTTATTTTAAAACATCCATGTTGCCATGGCAATAATCCAAATCTTCTCTTTAACCTTATAAAGTTAATTTCTCATAGGGTGCGTTCATTTGGGATGATCACGATCAGAGTGATTCAAGATCACTCTGGTCATGGTAGATCAAACTCGGAACAGATGAATCCTTGTCCACAGTGGATTCATCGGTTCATTTGATCTACCATGATCCGAGTGATCTCGGATCACTGATCCTGATCCGGATCATCTCAAAGGAACGCACCCTAAATAAAGCTTGTCTGTGCCTAATTCGAGATTGCTGCAACAGGTCTTAAATAACACTCAAATGAACGGCAACGAATCACAACCTATCAAACTCTGTTCAGCCACCTTAATTTTGCGATTTTTGGTAAGTCTGACAAATTAATCGGGAAAAATTATAGTAATCATTTTTCTCATTTCCGAATGTTTCTAAAAAACAGTTTATTTCAGGACTGCTTCTAGACCTGAAGATCCGACGACGGCGACGGCAACGAGAACATCAAGAAAGCAATAGGTGTAATAAGCACTTGCGGCACACTTTTTTGTACATTTCTTAGCCGCCTCTGCACGACTACGACGTAAAAGTGCCTAAATTTCCGTTTTATGGAGGACGTAAACAGGCCACGACGAAATTTTCTTTTCCTTTTGAAAATGAGAACCTATTCAAGAACCTAAATAGCCTAAATTTGTGCTAATTACCATTTATGTACCTACCTGTTTTCGTTATGTTGGGAAAACGGCAGGTTCTTACTCGTCTTTTTTTTCTTCTACTGTAATCGCAATGAAGATTGGAAAACGCAAATTCACATTTAGCACCGTTAGCGCACTTTCGTTGCCCTCACTGTCCTATCATCTTTAATTAGAGGGTGTCAATGGGGTTATTAAATTGTCTGGCGCACACGACGAATTTTTTTCTGTCGTAACTGTGCCGGCAAAAAATGCGGGTTTATCAAGATTCGGCGATAGTCAAAGATGCCCTGTTATAGGCGGCCTTAGCAGGGGACACACCAAAATTTCTTACCTTAAATGACATTTTAAAAAACTAATACTAGTGAAAAAAATTTCAACGAAAATGTAAACAATATTACCGTGAATAATAGGGCCTGTATCAATTTTAACTGGCACAAAAAGGAAAGAAAAAATTATAAACCTATATCTTAGCTAGTCAGAAACACACTTCGGCTTCTGCATGGCCGGTGTACCATAATTCTTCTAATCTAGGATTTTAGGCCCCCGAAAGTGTTATTTACATAAGTACTATTCACACCTGTTGGGAAAGATTGGATTTTTTTTACATATTTGACAGAGATAAAAATATAAAATAAATAACAAATACCGTTGTAATGCATAATGACCGGAAACGCCAGTCCGATATTGTTAATAACGAATAAGGGACGGACCATTAGAAAACTTATGAGGTAGGGGGGGGGGCTATGTAAAAAAAAAAATAGTCGCTCAAGGGAATGGAAAAAAAAAATTCATGCACGCCAATTTACCCTAAAAAATATTCATAATACGGCCTAAAAAAAATTCATACAAGGAATTTGATAACGAAAAAAAAAAAAAATTATTGTGCTTTTTTTTATTTTTTGGCGTGAATACCGCATACATACATGCACACGTAAGTACATATTTATTGGGTCGTCCCACAGCGCTTTTCAGAGTCAATGTTACAGTTATAGTAATAAACACAGAAAACTAAAAACACGAAAAATAATTAACTAACTAAAGGAGGCGTTGAAGAAGTCGTCTAACTTTTAACCCCGGGATTCGCTTAGCTTGAGTGGCTCTGGCTGTAACTTATTAGGGACGTCACTCTTTTCGAAGGACCTTTGGCCACTAGCAGTGCAGGTATTCTCAACACCCAGGGTCTCAACATTTCCGAGTTCCTGGTTGTCCTTGTCGAGACGGCCGATCTTTTTACGAACTTTGATCGATGTTAGGTACGCTGGAGCACACCCAGTCATGCACTTAAATAATAAAACTGAGCAAGTCGAAAGTATAGCTGTTGTTTCCCTGGGAGCCAGCGCAAGTCCTTTAACATTCAAGGGAGTGGTATGATCAAGCTTTCCAGCCCCGCTCACAGTTCTATAGGCGAAATTCTGTACAGCTTGGAGTTTGTCCAGATTAGTTTGGGTGGTGTTGCTCCAAACAGAGGAGCACTAAAATAGTTTACTAAAAACTAATGCGTTTATGATAATAACCAAAGCGTTTTTGTCAAAAACATGCTTAACGCGATTGATTTGCGGCGAAGGCGGATAAACTAAGCGAATAAACATGCATTATCGCTGATCCTCTGACAACAGGAGCCGATACTAATCGGCTCTTGCCACTGATTTGCCTCTTTGTTGTTGTTATAACAACGAGGAGAAAATCTAAGTAAGGCCAATAGACTGCTTTCATTTCACTAAAAGTAAGTCGTAACCAATTTTGTTACCCATGGTGCTCCTCGAAGCGCGAGCTCCGCCAAGTTTTCGGGTAGTATTTCATGTAACGGACATCTAATTGTCCCTGCCACATGCTTCTTTCAAAATGGCGGATTCAGGGAGCAAAGCCATACGGGAGAGTCAATTGGAAAGAAAACAGGTTTTTAACCCATAAGATGTCGTAAACGCGGTTTCTTCTTTCGTGTTTCACACAAATATCGATTTGTTGCCGTACTCTGTAGCATTAACTCCCTTTTGAAGCTCACATGGGTGTTTCTCTTCAAGGTTGAACTGGCCATTCCAGCCCTTATGAAACATACGGACCAGAAAAAAGGCAAACAACTGCATCTCTTGAGTGACCACGACACCATTCTCTTGATTTTATCTCTAAAGAAAATTCCAAATCCTGACAAGAAGCCGAGGAAAATGTAAGTGTTTAAAAGCGAAGTGACGACAACGAAAATGCGTTTAACCGGCAGCGCAAGGCTACAACAAATAATTTAAGCTTAAACAACTTATTTTCAAGTTTTGTTACTTTGTATCGTTTTCATTTTATTCCCCTGCTGTACATGTATATTCATGGCTGCATATGGTAATACTTTCATATATGTAGCTCTAAAACTTCTCTGTAAAATGGCCATGCATTTTTTTTACAGTCTCGAGAACAAGGCATAGATGTGAAATACTTTTAGTTTACAGAATAGCTACGAGAAAATTAGCTGTTTCCATTCTTTAATCCTGCAGCCAATATTTTTATACTAAGTGTTTTCTCTTACAGCATATACAGTCAACTCCCTCTAAGATGGACACCTTTGGGACCGGCAGTAAGTGTCTGTCTTAGAGAGATTTCCGTCTTATAGAGAGTCAAATAAACGGAGTAAAGAAAGAAAAGGACCAACTCTAGGTGTCTGTTTTAGGGAGGTATCCGTCTTATAGAGGTGTCCGTTAAGAGAGAGTTGACTGTATTGCCATTAAAAAGGTTAGAGAGTTGCAGGGTGGCCTTCAATAAGCCATTTCCAAGTTCCAAAATCTCTTTCTTTCAAACCAATGCCAAGTGCAAAACCTTTCTTGTGAAAATGACTTTTTATTTGCTTGGGAATAAAAATTCATTTTCATATCAACAGACCTTTGCACTTAGCTTGTCCTTGGCACAGAGGCTTGAGGCGATCCAGAAATTGCCTTATTGCTTTTGTTTCTGAGATGTAAGTCTTTTGATACAAGTATTTTTTTTCCTTTACCTCAGCCTGTTACCACACTCACTGTACTCAGATGATGTGGAAGTTTGTTTATTTACAAAAGAAGAAAGTTCAAAGGCAAAGGAAATGTTAAAAGCCAAGGGAGTGAATGTTAAAAAGGTGATTCTTATTATAAATATTTTCACCAATTTTTAGATTAGTTGAAGAATGGAAAAATTATAGCTTCTTACTGTTACATTTTTTTTTCAGCAGAATATTGAGGTGGCATTTCAATTAAAGGCATTCTCACTGATTAAAACAAAGATTTTTTCTGATTTGTGAAAGCATAATAATTATTATTTAAATTCTACCTCTCAACTTTATATTGGATTATTAGTAACTCTGTATCTCTGTTGCCAGTGATATTTAAAACTATTAGTGTGGACATAGAACAAATAAAATAAAATATGCAGCCATAGGTTTTACTTCACTCATATGCTGTTTCCTTTAAACTTGCAAGTTAGATATACATTTACATTGTGCAATTTTTAGAATAGTTTCTTTTAGTCAAAACTTAATGGTTGTGTTGTTCTCATACATTTCTTCCGCCGATAAGTTAGTCCTTATCATTGGATAACTTGTTATTTCCTATTTCACATGTAGGTAGTGTCTCTGACCAAGCTACGAAAGAATTATCATTCATTTGAAGCGAAACGACAGCTTTGTTCATTGTATGACGTTTTTATCTGTGATGAAGCAATCTACCATTTTTTGCCACGACTGCTTGGAAAAACTTTCTACTCCAGAAAAAAGTAAGTAACTTAAACTAATTAAATGTTTATTTACATGTAATTTTGCGATTAAAAAAATATCTAATATACCAATGCATTAGATGCACAGTGCTAGTATGTGCATTGTTAGGAGGAGGTCTTTTTTATGATTTTAGGGTTTTTTTTCTCTTTTTCACCACAAGTAAAATTCCAGTGTGTCATAAACTAAAAAGGAACATACTGGTGTTGTTCACTGCTTTTTAGTTTTTGAGTCTTCAAACTGATATTATTATTCATTCAAAATATTTCTCCATTTTTGATTGGCTGATTTCTGATTGGCAATATAAGAAAAATGATGTCAATTTTGTGACATAATTGCCAGAAAACTGAACAGTTAACCTAGAAGACCTTAGGATGAGGTTAATAAAATTATGAAATGGGATCACTTTGCCCTCTGTGCAAGCAAAAATTGGACTTTGTGTTACTGGTTTGAACACGGTTTTTACCATTGCTATGATGATGAGAATGATGATGACAATGATGGTGGTGGAATTATTATTTTTATTTCATAATAGTGATAATTATTATTATTGTCGTTGTTGTTGTTGTTTGTTTGTTTGTTTTTTTCCTGCTTTTCAGCCTAGCGAAACTGAAATATTTAGCGATCTTAAATGAAAAAAGAGATTGTATACGTTAGTAGTATTGGACTTGTAGTATTTCCCATTTCATTATCGACACTTCCATGTAAAAGGTGATCAAGAACTGCAAAAAGCCACCAAGAATATAAATTTGAATGGCAGCAAATGGTAATGTTAACAACAACCACAATAACAGAACTAATGCTTTAAATTGTATGTCTGCAGGTTTCCTGTCCCAGTAGATCTAAAGAAAACCAATCTAAAGAAGGAATTAGACAAAGTTCTTCATTGTTCTCTTTTGAGCTTGGGTCATGGGCCATGCAGGTACAAGTTCTTATAACATATTAATCTGTAGTCTGCCTGGCAGGCTTTAAAAGGAGAAGGGGCAATTTGGGAATGAAAGCATGAGGGGAGCGGGATGAAAGGAAATTAATCTCCTCCTCACTTGTCCATTGCACTCTCATGTGCCCAAGTACCCCCTTTCCCTTCCCCTTTCTCACCTTTTAATGCCTGCCACACAAGCTAATTGATGTGCTGACGTTTGACCACAGTTACAAAGAACAATGAATATGAAGCCGAGCAGACTTCTTTGCTATGTGCTTTAAGCTTTTCAGACTTCACCATCCAAAATGTTCAGTGACCTCTTTGGCAGAACTTTTATTTTTTTAGGAATTTACATTGGCTGCTTGGTATGTGCAAAAAAAGAGGCGGGGAGGGCGGTAGAGGAGAACTCCCTTTTTCTTTTTGTCCAGATTACCCACCCCTTTTGGCACCTGCCAGGCAGGCTTGGTTTTACAAAAAGGAACAAATGATGGAAATGTTATGGTTGAGTGGACAACAGATATGTCCTGTTTACTATATCAGCATGTTAACAGTAAGTTCCAAGGTAGCAAAGAAGGACACCGGTCTAGCTGGTCGTTCCGGTTATGGGGAGAGATGACGACCCAGAAATATGCCTGCATTTGCAGGCTACTATAATTTCATTTATGAGCTTACTGTAACCCACCCAACCCATGATATGAAATGATGTGTGCAAGATACACACCACCAGGGAAACTTCCCCTGCTCTTTTCAACCAGTAGTGTGGGTTCTTTTGCACCCCCTTCCCTTCCATTTGACCAATGAAAGGAGGGTGAAGGGGACAAGCGTAATGGCTTAACACCCAAAGACTTTTTATTCTGAACTGAGACTCTTACCATTTACACAAACCACCCGGGTGGAAGTCTTGTGTGTAAACATAATACTATAAAATTTGAAGTGATGGGAGAACGACTCGCTGCAAAGTCTATCCAAATTAGCTGAACAGACTAAAAAGAGTAGAAAAAATGGCATCGCCTCGTATTTTTTTTTTTATTTTTATCAGCCCATTTTTTTTAAGCTTTCCAACGGAATGGGGCGAACCATTTGATTTTCCAACCGGAATTTCCGGTTTTCCCATTTAAACGAAAAATACGCCAATTCTCGAATCCCAGCCAGCATGATCTTACTTAATTTTTTAAACACCTTGGTGTTGGTTCTTGTTGGGTTTGAACCTACGACCTGCCGCTTGGCAGACCGACGCACACTAATAAAATCCGTCACTGGTCATTTTGATAGATTTCACGCGCAAACTATACTTGAAAAGAAAGAAATTTTTGTGTCATTTCACTGCTTGAATTCGTATCAAAACGACTTGTTTAGAAACGACTTTTTAACAAAACGACCGGTTTCCATTAAAATCACTATCTCTGCTTTAATTTTCTATCTTCTTTTTTACCAATACAGCGCACTTAAGGTGGCGCACACCGGCCAGTCAGTGGAGGAAGCTGTGGAAAATGTTGTTGTTGCTGTGTCTGAAATCGCTAGGATAGTTCCGAGAGGTTGGAACAACATTCAGTCTTTGAACCTGAAGACAACAGACTCTATATCTCTTCCCATTTATACCTCGCTACCAGAAAAATCCCTTGCTCTTGAAACATCAGAACCACCGAAGAAAAAGAAGAAAAAAGCGTGATCATCAATCTTTTCAAGCTCCTTTTATATTTTGTACTTGTAAGAGGATCAGGGATGAATTGTTTGGTTATTTTGCCTTCGAGGTTGACCGGCATTGGAACCATCAAATAGTTTGCCAATAAATGGCTGGAACCGTTTGCAGAGTGCAACCTTTTGCATCAAAATAATTAAATTAAGGAATGATCAACCAATTGTTGTACCTATTCAGTTGAAGAAGTTGCGAATTGAAGCCTTGAACAAAATAGACCTTTAAGAAGTTTGACGGAATTCGAACATTGACATGCGGATATGAAGTATCGTTCTGTACGGTTTATATGTGATGTATTTCTTATAATAAACATCATTTAGGACCACTCCTTGTCCAGGAGTACATTAGCCCTTGATCTGCTGCTGACGTCAGCTCTGCTGGTAAGATAAACACAACGGTCACATGCACCCACGGTTCATTCCTCCGAGTGTTCTCATTTCTCTGTCCTTCCCATGCAGGTTATAACGTGGTTGAAAAGACAACGCAACAAGTAATTTGTTTCGTGATGTAATTTTATCGTCACGCTGGATTAATTTACGGACTAGAAGCTGACTCGTCCCCAGACGTCTCTCACTCTCTCTCCCTAGTGGCGGCGCGCGGGGTGTGATGGGAAGGAGGAAAGCGAGGGAGAGAGACCGCTCCCGCCCGCGGCCGTTACGCGAAGACGACTGGGGACGAGTCAGGACTAGAAGAGCATTTCTCACCACCCCAGCTGTTTCTGACTTAAATACCAAGAACGAAAAACTCTACCCATACCGAGATTTTTGGATAAAAAGTTGGCTTTTCTGTGAATCCTTCTGACAATGAACTAAAATAAAATATGAAATAGCATTAGCCAGACAAACGCTTGCTCGGTTTGTTATATGCGTGTTCATTTTAAGTGCTTTATATGTTGTAAAAATAGGAAGGAAGAAACGGTTACCAATTATATGTGTTTGGGGAGCAATGGTGGCGAAGTATTAAGAGCACTACCTTCCGCCAGTGTGGCCTGGCTTCTAGTCCCGGCGTCAATGCTTTATGTGCGGGATTGCTGTTTGTTAACATGCGTTTCCCAAGACTCCCAAAAATATTTCGGCCCTACAAAAAACATTCTATAGGATCGCAAAATTTATTACCAGAAATGCGATTTTGATTTCTTTCATATAAATGGAAAAATTTCAAAACTTTAAAAGATCCTAACTGAATATTGGCTTTCTTTGCACAAACCTCGCAATGATCGTTTAAATAAAATGATAGCCTGTTTCGGGCGTTCAGATAGTGGGGAGCGGCGCGTAGTAAAAATGATCGCTTTCTTTACTTCGCACCGCTCTCCACTATCTGAACGCTTGGAACAGGCTAATAAAATTAATGAGGAAAAACAAATGTGAAAAATGTAATTTTCTGGGCCAAAAAACTCTTCGGGAGTTTTAGGAAATGCTCGTCTGCTCCGAGTAGTTTTTCCCTGGCGGGTTCATCCGGTCTCTCCCTTTCTCACCTCGACAAACAGCTAGTTCACTCTCGCCTTGCGGAGACCCCGCTATAACGTACACCCCGATAATACGGACAGCAGCTCAGCAAATCCAAGGCAAAAATAAATTGCAGTTGTTTGACTGAAATAAACTCCCGGCTGATTACGAACTCTCGCTAATGTCGACAGCTACGAAACCGTTGCACTGCCTCAAACTTTATCTCGCTTATTCCATCTCGTTTGATTCGTCAAATGTTGGCAATTTGTTTTGTAGTTGAATTCAAAAGGACTGTATAAAAGTTCAGGAAAAGAAAAAGAAAGTTGTTTTGTCTTGTGTTCACTTCCTCGACCGAAAACGTGAAGGCACTTTCACGTTGTAGTCGTGCAATGACGGCAAAGAAATGTGATGCACGTACAAAGTTGTTATTTTGCTAATCTAAACTTATTGCTTTTTCCCGCCCTTGCTGCCGTCTCTGTCGTCGTTGCTTAAGCTCCGTACTAACTCGAGGTTCCTGGCTACAGTGTCTGTTACAAAGGGAGTTGACTGTACTCAATATGATCTGAATAGTGCCTTCAGTTAGTTGGGGACACTTATTGGACCGCAAGTTTACTAGCTTTTAGAAGAGTCAAGTGTCATCCCCTCTCAGCCCTCTAAAATGAATGTTAGGTTAGTTTTCACTTTAAGTTTCAATAAAGGGATTAGTTTTTAATTCCGAAATACACAAAAAATGTTTTTATCAACCGATTTGATGAAATCAATTTACCGCCAAAAAAATATTGAAATAGTGACGCTGTGAATTGACTTCATTACTGAACTCACTCTAATTCAAATCTGTGCATAAAAAACGTCGCACAGAGAAAACTTGCATTACTGGACGCTTGATAAGTGTAAAGGGCAGGGGCATTCTTCGAATTTTTCTGTAAAATATTGTTAGGAGAAAATACTGCCCAGAAATTCTTAAGAAATTCTAAAAACTTCTGAATAACTGTTCCGATCTAAGATGATATTTTATAACTTACATGTTACATTTAAGGTCTCCTGAAACTTTCAGTTTAAAGACATTGCGTCCCCTAGGATTTTCTAATGAAAATACGGCTACTCCAAACATATTGGCAACAACCGTTTAGATAGCAAAATTCCTCGAAAAAAGACGCTATTTTAACCTAAATGACAGCTGTCTCGGCCGTCATGTAAATGCTGCGTCACGCAAAAGCTTAGAAATTCAAGCGTACTCTATTACAAAACCAAGAAACCTTTTCGAGCGAAAATTTGTTTGAAAATTAGTTTTCTGCTGCTGTAATAGACCATGACAGTAAAATCTCGGTAGAATCGATAGTTTTGTAGTTTGAATTTTAGTGACGTCATGTGAAAACCAACAATAGGAAACGGATCGAGTTTTGGCAGTTTAAAGGCAGTGGAACTCATGAGATCTCGTCGTGCCCAATTTAGTTATGACAGAAATTATAATCGAATTGGATTACAGCCACGGGGTCATGCACCTTGTAGACTTCCAGTAAAGAAGTTAAGACGTCTGTAACACAAAAGGAGAAAAGGAAGGGTATTTGTATGGAAGGGTATCCGGAAAAAATATCATTTCTTACTATTCGTCCACATTAACAATTAATCTACAACTATGACGCCTAAGTTTACGCTCCATAGCGTCTTGTTTCTTTGTTTCGTTGCGACTTCCGAGAAGCCCCTGGGGACCAGTGGCGTTGCCTCGTTTTCAGGTTGCCCTCTATCCCATGAGACAAGTCGAGCGCGGCGCTTGATTGCCGTCCATGTTGAAAGACCCATGTGTATCGAGTGAATGAGCAGGGAAAAAGCTTAAAACTTTGCTTAGGAATTATGGCAGCGGTTGATGGAAATGGTTTTAAGTTGGAAGATGATATTAGTGCTAAAATAAGTGGTTTTCGCAAGGAATATGACAATGATCGTGACAGTAGAGACGAATATGGTAAGTCACTCTAGTCATTGCATTCGATGCTATTGGAATGGTCTTACCTAGCCTGTAGACAGTCTTTAAATTTTTTACATTTATTTCATAAAGCAGGTAAAATAGACAACTATGCAGCTGATGTCCTGATTTGCTGGCTCTTGTTGGTTGTTTTCGAGGATGTAAAAATTTGTTGTAATTATAAATAAGTGGTACACTGAATTGGAAGCTTACTGAATTTTCAAGAAGTCGTAAACAGTCCCGTTTTAGTCTCTCTTGCCGTCTACAGTGCATATTTAAACTCGAATTGAAAGCTAGTAATACTGCTAATTAGTAAAAAATAATTCTTAGTAAAGTGGGCATGTTGTCAAGTAGATGCTGGACAGTACTACACACTGTAACTCATTAAAATGTTATTTGGCACACCAACATTTTATTGCCGATCTCATCTTGAACATCACAGAAATATTGCTGTTAACAAGAGTTATCAGTGTAACTTATCAAAGTTTAAATTGATCAAGAAGATAAAATTTCAGTGGTTATGCTTCACTTTCGAATTCTATAGCACTTGATTCATGTTGTAAATGTTGAATCATTGCAGAAGTGTCTGTTTGATTTGGGCACAAAGATCCGTTTGGATGTTCCGTTTTCTTTTAACTGCCACCCCCCCCCCCCCTTTCCCCCCCCCCAAAAAGGTCGGGATCCTTTCCTCCCCAATTTTTTTTTCCCCCTCTTTAAACATGTAACTCCCACGTTTGTTCTTTTTTTNTTTTTTGGGCTTCTTCAAAGAAAAAATCAAAACCCCCAATTAGAAAATCCGTCATCCGTGAGGTGGTTGTTCTAATATGCTTTTAAAGATCATCATGTTTTGTGATTTTAAGTATGTAGTAATTAACCTCGCACATCTGGAACCAGTTGCCATCTGCTGTAAAAAACGCACCTAATGCATCATCCTTTCAGAGACCTTTCGGAGACTTTTAACTAAGTTAAATTTTATTGGTTGTCAATGCAGCAATTGCCTTTGACCCGATTTATTTTTATAGATAGATGTTATTATTATTTTTTTAAATTTAATTAGTTGCTATTGAGATATTAATTACTTAATTTTTCTTTTATATTGTCAAACACTTTTATCATGAGCCCGTGGCTCGGGGGATTGGGAGACCACCCCTGTGTATCTGACATTAAATAAATTATCTTATCTTATCTTATCTTAACGGTAATTAGTTTGTGATATTTATTGAGATTTGCTTGCATGTTCTGAATTTTATTGTTATTGGCTACTACACAATCAACATTCCTGAAATTTTTCAGGTGTTCATAGTTTTGAGTTTGACAGTAAATGTCTCAATAAATTATAATTTCAATGCTCACATTGTATTTCTCATTGAAATTTTTAGGTGGAGGGAGTGATCGATCGAGAGATAGAGACCAAAGGCGAGATCGTCGACGAAGGTCAAGATCACGGTCAAGAAGCCCTAGAGATCGCCGAAGTTATGGTGGTGGTGGAAGAGACAGATATAATCGAGGAAGGTAAGACTTGTAGATACAGTTTTGTAGATACAGTTTTATCCCTAGATCTTCTTTATTTATTCAAGCTTTTGCTTTCCTTGTACCCTCGTAGCAGGATTGAAACAACCCTTACTGTTCATGAAAGGCATTATCTTGAGCATTTTATTTTTACTTCATTTAGATCACCCTCTCCTCCAAGAAGAAGAAAGAAGAGGTACAGGAATTTTATTTCATGACATTAATAATAACTTCTTTTACTTTTTACTTTTATACCTTTTGTGAGAATGTACGGTGTACATTGACATTGTACCTGCAGGGTTGTCAAAAGTAGTTGGCTGCCAGTAAACTGCCCACTTGGTTAGTACTGATGATGTTTTTTTAAATAAAATATCCCTTGACTGGCCGCTTGCTTTGACAACTCAGTGGTCGACTTTAAAACTTTGTGACAACCCTGACCTGTAAATTGTTGATGCGTGTACTGTTTTGAAGTGCTGTTTCAGTGTACAATGTAAATCAGTGATTTACAATTTCCTTTTTCTTTGTTTATTTTCCAGAGAAAGCTTGTGGGACAGACCTCCAATTGGATATGAACATATGACACCAGCACAGTATAAAGCCATGAGAGGTGTGTTAGTTGCATTGTGCAATCTCTCATTTCTAGTCTGGAATATAATTTTACCTGTCAGGTCTGTCATTTAGTTTTAAAACAGCCGTAGGAAATGAAGATTCACCTGTAACATCTCGGAAAAAGTTTACAGTCTCGCCTTTAGCTTTCCACTGATGATCACCTGTAACATCCAGCTAGCTTTAGCTATAACAGATGTCATGGTTAGGGCCCTTAATGACAGCTCTGTCTGTCTAATACATGTCAGGTATTTCAATAATAGTTGAAGTAGCCAAAAGGTTTGAATCAGAGTACCCGACTGTATCAACAAGGGGCTGTTAATCCAGTGCCTCTAGGGAAGTCTGAGGGCATGCTCCCTCAGAAAAGTTTGAAATTTTAAAGCCCTAAAATGCCATTTCCAGTGTTCAGGGGACTAAATTGAGTACAAAAGAGTGTGCTTTTCATTCAGGTCAAATGCACATTTGAACGAGAACAAATTCTGTGTAAACCTCTAAAACATTTGCATAACAAAAGCATAACTCAAAACCAGTGGGCCTTTACGTTTTCTTTCAGATTTTATGATATGCTTTCTGTTTACAACATTGTAAGAACTACATGTAGCTGCCTCTTCTTTCAGGGAGAAAAGTAGCCGACTTCTCTTAGCAAAATAACTGACGCGTTTCGTCGGTCATCGGTGCTTATTGAAACCCCTGACATGTACATGAAGTATTGCCTTTCCACAAATAGTTGTTGTCTAGTGAAACTCTTAAACTGTTAATAAATTATTTAAAATCACCAATTACAAACAGTCACGCTGTACAGTTAATTATATTAATTTTTTTCAATTAATGAGTTACATTTGCATTGTACAGGTTTATTGCTTGGAATGTGTTGGATTGTGATAGGTGTTTGTTATTAATATTATTAGTTATACATGTGCACGTCTGTGTTTCTTTTTATTATAAATAGCGGCAGGGCAGATTCCAGTCAATGCAGGTGGTCCAGTACCTGGTGGAACTGTTAGTAGTTTGCCACAAGGAAGTCAGATGACAAGACAGGCTCGAAGATTGTATGTTGGAAACATACCATTTGGAATAACTGAGGTGGGTTATTTTTTTATTCAATGTTATTTTTGATGCCTTCAGTTCTTGATTCCCAGTTCTGTAACAGTGCTCTACACTTGTGCCATGAAAAGAGATTATAAACTGGGTTACATGTACATGTGCAGACTGTGTGTGCACAGGGTATTTAAGAATCAACTTCATTTCATGATTCTGAAACACATGTATATATATGTTGAGGTTTAATAGCATGTTCCACTTTAACTAAAAATAGATTTTGTAACTGTAGACCACCCCCAACCCCCCTGCTTGACTCAGACACTCTGTGCATTCTACTCAAAGGCTTTGTATGAGCAAGATGCATTTCCCACAAGAATATTATTCATAAAATTCACAATTAATGTTTTTAAAAGGCATTTGACCTTTATTGTATCATATAAAAGGCATTACTCTAAGCAAAAACCTGGTCCAAGTACATGTAGTACACAGAGATTTTGTTACAAATAGTTATGGTGAGTCCTGTCACTTATCTTGTGAAAAATCATGAGTCCCAGTCCAGAACCATTAAGTCCCAGTTCAAAAAACAATGACTTCTAAACTGAAAATGCTTGGGTATAATCTAACCAGGCAGTTACTGAATCTGAAGACAGACTCCAAAACTCTTTCTCACAGTTTACTGAATTAACCCATTCGCTCCTGGAGATTTTGCCGAAAAACGCGTTTTGAAGCTAGTCGAGTGGTTTTCTGGTCACTGTCGTGCTATAAAGGGCTAAAACTTACCACAAACCGGTTTACAGGTGGGCAATGGAACAAGATTTTCATGGAGATTTTCAGGTCAATGTCACATGGTTTTTTGCTTCTTTCTCCGGTGTCCTTGACTGAATTGTGCTCATTCTGGTATGGTTTGAAAGATCTCTTCACTCTACACAAGTACTTAAATACCAAGAACGAAAAACTCTACCCATACCGAGATTTTTGGATAAAAAGTTGGCTTTTCTGTGAATCCTTCTGACAATGAACTAAAATAAAATATGAAATAGCATTAGCCAGACAAACGCTTGCTTGGTTTGTTATATGCGTGTTCATTTTAAGTGCTTTATATGTTGTAAAAAAGGAAGGAAGAAATGGTTACCCCTTATATGTGTTTGGGGAGCAAGAGTGGCGAAGTATTAAGAGCACTACCTTCCGCCAGTGTGGCCTGGCTTCGAGTCCCGGTGTCAATGCTTTATGTGCGGGATTGCTGTTTGTTAACATGCGTTTCCCAAGACTCCCAAAAATATTTCGGCCCTACCAAAAACATTCTATTGGAGCGCAAAATTTATTAGCAGAAATGCGATTTTGATTTCTTTCATATAAATGGAAAAATTGCAAAACTTTAAAAGATGCTAACTGAATGTTGGCTTTCTTTGCACAAACCTCGCAATGATCGTTTAAATAAAATGATAGCCTGTTTCGGGCGTTCAGATAGTGGGGAGCGGTGCGAAGTAAAAATGATCGCTTTCTTTACTTCGCACCGCTCTCCACTATGTGAACGCTTGGAACAGGCTAATAAAATTAACGAGGAAAAATAAATGTCAAAAATGTAATTTTCTGGGCCAAAAAACTCTTCAGGAGTTTTAGGAAATGCTCGTCTGCTCCGAGTAGTTTTTCCCTGGCGGGTTCATCCGGTCTCTCCCTTTCTCACCACGACAAACAGCTAGTTCACTCTCGCCTTGCGGAGACCCCGCTATAACGTACACCCCGATAATACGGACAGCAGCTCAGCAAATCCAAGGCAAAAATAAATTGCAGATGTTTGACTGAAATAAACTCCCGGCTAATTACGAACTCTCGCTAATGTGGATCATAGGGAACTTACGCCGAACAACGACGGCGACAGCTACGAAACCGTCGCACTGCCTCAAACTTTTTCTTGCTTATTCCACTCTCGTTTAATTCCTCAAATGTTGGCAATTTTTTTTGTAGTTGAATTCCAAAGGACTGTATAAAAGTTCAGGAAAAGAAAAAAAAAATGTTTTGTATTGTGCTCACTTCCTCGACCGAAAACGTGAAAGCACTTTCACGTTGTAGTCGTGCAATGACGGCAAAGAAATGTGATGCACGTGTAAAGTTGTTATTTTGCTAATCTAAACGTATTCCTTTTTTCCCGCCCTCGTTGCCGTCTCTGTCGTCGTTACTTAAGCTCCCTACTAACTCAAGGTTCCTGGCTACAGTGTCTGTTACAAAGGGAGTTGACTGCACTCAATTTCAATGAATAGTGCCCTCAGTTAGTTGGGGACGCTTATTGGACCGCAAGTTCATCAGTTTCTAGAAGTGTCAAGTGTCATCCCCTCTCAGCCCTCTAAAATGGACTTTAGGCTAATTTTCAGTTTAAGTTTCAATAAAGGGATCGGTTTTTAATCCCGGATCCCGAAATACACGTACAAAAAAAAAAAAATGTCTTTATCAACCGATTTGATGAAAACTACCCTGCGAGCAGAGGCCCTTCGATCTTCCTAGGAAGATCGAAGGGCCTCTGCTCGCAGGGTAGATGAAAACAAGTTACCGCCTGTAAATTGACTTCATCGGTCACTGAACTCACTCTAATTCAAATCTGTGCATAAAGAACGTCAGAGAAAACTTCCATTACCGGACGCTTGATAAGTGTAAAGGGCAGTGGCATCCAACGAATTTTTCTGTAAAATATTATTGGGAGAAAATATTGCCCAGAAATTCTTATCTTAAGAAATGCTAAAAATTTCTGAATAACAGTTCCGATCTAAGATATATTTTATTGCTTACATGTTATATTTAAGGTCTCCTGAAACTTTCAGTTTAAAGACATGACGTCCCCTAAAAATTTGGAAAACAATAGTCCTCGTAGCACACGGCGTTAAACATTTATGCTAGCTTGAGACCATAGGTACCCGTCATTGCCCTTTTTTTCGTACTGACTATTCATTGCTAGTAAGCTCACGTCCTCCCAGAGAACTTTTTACTTCGGCGGAGAGCGAAGTAAAGGATTCGCACAGCTCAGGAATGTTTCAAAGTTGCATCCGAAGGACCCGAAGTTGCTTCCGAATATCCCAAAGTTACTTTGGAATTAGTTCGAGCAATAGCCATTATGATTTATTCTTTCAGGGGAAAGAAATAATGATGAAGAAGAAATAATTCTTACTTTTTGAAGAAATAAAGAGGACTATAATTTTTCTAGCTTGCCCAGGGTCGGAACCTGCTTATGTATGACTAGTCAGATCAGATGAGACTCTGAAATGAGGGATTAGCCGATTGCGCCACTGCGACGCAAGATAATTTGAGATGTAAAAAATAGCCATAAGTTATGCTTGAGGTACTTTTCGGCTTGTTTGGGGTATTTGACGTAGTGACACCGGATGAGTTGGAGATATCGCGAGATCACTTCTAGTTCTTTCGGCTGCAACAATATTAGAGGGGGAGCGCAAAGTAATGTCGTAAACTTAAGCCCCCCCCCCGCCACTTTTTCAGATACTAAATTTTTTTTTGACTTTGGTTACCCAGATCTATCACTTACACACAAACAAGGTTTAGTAATCTGACAGTACTGAACACCCACAAACAGAGAACAGACATGTACAAGCTTTGTCTTGTAGCTGTTGGCAATGAGTTTGTAGCTCTTAATGACAATCGGAAATAGAACTTTAGCATCCCTCAGAGAATCCGAGAATCCGACTTAAAAATGTCTGGGTGACACTAAACCGTTGTGTGTGATGGGTTAAGCTTCAAAGTCTATTCATTTAAATTTTGGGCTAACGTTGTAACTTGTTGTTTAAGTGCCGAAGTAATAATTAAAAAATTCATATCACTATTGGTAGTTTTAGATGCATTTATAGCCATTCCAGAAGACTTAAATCTGAAATTTTCCCGGGGGAAGCATGCCCCGCACCCCCTAGTTTGCTCACGCTTACGCGTTCGCATTGGCCCTCCCACTTGACAATCCGCTGCGTGGGCCCTAGTCCATTTTGTTGCCGAAGTGAGGCCGAAATTTGTTCGTGATATACTTCTATATGAGCTCGAGTTGTTTAGTTTATCTGAGGAAGAAAGAAATAGTATTTTTTGCTCGCCCTTCGGTTTGTAGTTACCTACTTATCTTTGCCCCGTTAGTTCGCGGAGACAAGATTGTAGCTGAGAAAAGTAAAAGATGGTTGATTTGTAGGTTTATTATTTTTTTTAATTTGGGCGAGCAGCAAGTTAATGTTTTGCTGCATAACTGCCAGCAGTCAGCGTGCGACGATTAGTTATTTTGGGCTTATAGGAAACGGATTTAAACGGGCAGTCGAGTTTTGACAGTTTAAAGGCAGTGGAACTGATGAGATCTCGTCGTGCGCAATTTATTTATGACAGAAATTGTAATCGAATCGGATTACAGCTACGGGGTCATGCACCTAGTAGACTTCCAGTAAAGAAGTTAAGACGTCTGTAACACAAAAGGAGAAAAGTAAGGGTATTTGTATGGAAGGGTATCAGGAAAAATATCATTTCTTACTATTCCTCCACATTCACAATTAATCCACAACCACGACGCCGAAGTTTACGCTCCGTAGCGTCTCGTTTCTTTGTTTCTTTGCGACTTCCGAGAAGCCCCTGGGGACCAGTGGCGTTACCTCGTTTTCAGGTTGCCCTCTATCCCATGAGACAAGTCGAGCGCGGCGCTTGATTGCCGTCCATGTTGAAAGACCCATGTGTATCGAGTGAATGAGCAGGAAAAAAGCTTAAAACTTTGCTTAGGAATTATGGCAGCTGTTGATGGAAATGGTTTCAAGTTGGAAGATGATATTAGTGCTAAAATAAGTGGTTTTCGCAAGGAATATGACAATGATCGTGACAGTAGAGACGAATATGGTAAGTCACTCTGGTCATCGCATTCGATGCTATTGGAATGGTCTTACCTAGCCTGTAGACAGTCTTTAAATTTTTTACATTTATTTCATAAAGCAGGTAAAATAGACAACTATGCAGCTGATGTGCTGATTTGCTGGGTCTCGCTGGCTGTTTTCGAGGATGTAAAAATTTTTTGCAACTATAAATAAGTGGTACACTGAATTGGAAGCTTACTGAATTTTCAAGAAGTCGTTAACAGTCCCATTTTAGTCTTTCTTGCCGTCTACAGTGCATATTTAAACTCGAATTGAAAGCTAGTAATACTGCTAATTGGTAAAAAATAATTTTAAGTAAAGACGGTATGTTGTTCAAGTAGATGCTGGACAGCACTACACACTGTAACTTAAAATGTTACATGGCACACCAACATTTTATTGCTGATCACATCTTGAACATCACAGAAATAATGCTTTTATCAAAAGCTATCAGTCTAACTTATCAAAGTTAAAATTGAACAAGAAGGTGGCAGTAGCACGATGTTTGAAACCAAGTCGAGCTACTGCCGTGTAGCACGGCAAGGCTTGCCGTGCTACACGGCAGAAGCACGACTTGGTTTTAAACATTGCGCTACTGCCGTGCTAAAGTTGAATTTAATTCGATCAATTGAGTTCGGCACAGCAGTAGCACAACGTTTGAAATGGGCTTAAGATGCTTTTAAAGATCATGCTGTTTTTAGATTTTAAGTATGTAGTAATTAACCTACACTATCTTAATTCACAAAAGCAATATCACCTCCTTTTCGAATAAACAGAAGCAATTCCATGGAAGTAATCCAATGAACTATTTTGTTTTTTCATTTTTCAACAACAACAACAACCATTATTATTACATGTACATCCAAATAGAGAATTTTACATTTTTTGATAGCAAATGGAAAGAAAAGAAGAAATAATACGTTCAAAAATTGTGCATTATGATAACAAGGATTTCTAGCAGCTAAATTAACAAACATTTGGGTGCTATTGCCAAGCTGTAAAAATATATTTTTAACATAGTGGTGACAGGTGAAATAGTTGCAAAGAAAGAAAATGCAAAAACAAAAATAAGTTAATAAATAAGACGTACACACTATACACTATATGGAGAAAATAACAATGGGCAACTGTCAAATTTTCTAATCAGTAGATGTTGTTTTAGTAAGCGTGGGAAGGATAATTATCATTAAGGAGGTCTTTCCAATTTCCAGAGGTCAACAGCTATAGATCGGATTGACTGTTCTCCAAGATACGTTCTTGTGCGTTATTTATAAAAGTTCTTTTTAGGGCAGATAGTGTATTTAATTGTTAGTAAGTACTTGTTCAGTATACTGAAAATAATTCTGAAAAATGCTTGGCAACTCCTTTTTGTGCCATCTGAAGGCAAATTTAAGGGCCTGTGGCTGGTGGTGGAATGAGTGGTTACTCCCTCTGTTTACCATGCATGGAAAGCACATGGTTGAACCAAGATGGCCAGAAGTGTTTCAGAACTTATGTGTACAGGTTTACAATATTGTTTTATTTATTGCTGTTACTGCCAAAAAAATTCAAACTGCAATGCTCCATGTACATTGTAAAAGATTTTGCAAACCTTACCAGGGCAAAAAAAATAGTGTGGCTTATCTGCTTGACACAGCTCCTTTGTAGGTTTTTACATGTATTTCTGTGAAAGTCACAAAACCATGAACACCAGAAATATTTATGGAATGTTATTGCATTCCAAGTAAAAAGCCATTAAGGCACAAGAAAACTAAACTGCAAATGGCAACGGTAATTAGTTTGTGATATTTATTGAGGTTTGCTTGCATGTTTTGAACTTTATTGTTATTGGCTACTTTTATAATCAACATTCCTGAAATTTTTCAGATGTTCATGGTTTTCTGAGTTTGACAGTAAAATAATGTCTCAATAAATTATAATCTCAATGCCCACATTGTATTTCTCATTGGAATTTTTAGGTGGAGGGAGTGATCGATCGAGAGATAGAGACCAAAGGCGAGATCGTCGACGAAGGTCAAGATCACGGTCAAGAAGCCCTAGAGATCGCCGAAGTTATGGCGGTGGTGGAAGAGACAGATATAATCGAGGAAGGTAAGAGTTGTAGGGTGATGCAGTTTTATCTCTAGACCTTCTTTATTTATTCAAGCTTTTGCTTCCCTTGTACTCTCGTAGCAGGATTGAAACAACCCTTACTGTTCATGAAATGCATTATCTTGAGCATTTTATTTTTACTTCATTTAGATCACCCTCTCCTCCAAGAAGAAGAAAGAAGAGGTACAGGAATTTTATTTTATGACATTAATAATAACTTCTTTTACTTTTTACTTTTATACCTTTTGTGAGAATGTACGGTGTACATTGACATTGTACCTGCAGGGTTGTCAAAAGTAGTCAGCTGCCAGTAAACTGCCCACTTGGTTAGTACTGATGATGTTTTTTTAAATAAAATATCCCTTGACTGGCTGCTTGCTTTGACAACTCAGCTGTCGACTTTAAAACTTTGTGACAACCCTGACCTGTAAATTGTTGATGCATGTACTGTTTTGAAGTGCTGTTTCAATGTCCAATGTAAATCAGTGATTTACAATTTCCTTTTTCTTTGTTTATTTTCCAGAGAAAGCTTGTGGGACAGACCTCCAATTGGATATGAACATATGACACCAGCACAGTATAAAGCCATGAGAGGTGTGTTAGTTGCATTGTGCAATCTCTCATTTCTAGTCTGGAATATAATTTTACCTGTCAGGTCTGTCATTTAGTTTTAAAACAGCCGTAGGAAATGAAGATTCACCTGTAACATCTCGGAAAAAGTTTACAGTCTCGCCTTTAGCTTTCCACTGATGATCACCTGTAACATCCAGCTAGCTTTAGCTATAACAGATGTCATGGTTAGGGCCCTTAATGACAGCTCTGTCTGTCTAATACATGTCAGGTATTTCAATAATAGTTGAAGTAGCCAAAAGGTTTGAATCAGAGTACCCGACTGTATCAACAAGGGGCTGTTAATCCAGTGCCTCTAGGGAAGTCTGAGGGCATGCTCCCTCAGAAAAGTTTGAAATTTTAAAGCCCTAAAATGCCATTTCCAGTGTTCAGGGGACTAAATTGAGTACAAAAGAGTGTGCTTTTCATTCAGGTCAAATGCACATTTGAACGAGAACAAATTCTGTGTAAACCTCTAAAACATTTGCATAACAAAAGCATAACTCAAAACCAGTGGGCCTTTACGTTTTCTTTCAGATTTTATGATATGCTTTCTGTTTACAACATTGTAAGAACTACATGTAGCTGCCTCTTCTTTCAGGGAGAAAAGTAGCCGACTTCTCTTAGCAAAATAACTGACGCGTTTCGTCGGTCATCGGTGCTTATTGAAACCCCTGACATGTACATGAAGTATTGCCTTTCCACAAATAGTTGTTGTCTAGTGAAACTCTTAAACTGTTAATAAATTATTTAAAATCACCAATTACAAACAGTCACGCTGTACAGTTAATTATATTAATTTTTTTCAATTAATGAGTTACATTTGCATTGTACAGGTTTATTGCTTGGAATGTGTTGGATTGTGATAGGTGTTTGTTATTAATATTATTAGTTATACATGTGCACGTCTGTGTTTCTTTTTATTATAAATAGCGGCAGGGCAGATTCCAGTCAATGCAGGTGGTCCAGTACCTGGTGGAACTGTTAGTAGTTTGCCACAAGGAAGTCAGATGACAAGACAGGCTCGAAGATTGTATGTTGGAAACATACCATTTGGAATAACTGAGGTGGGTTATTTTTTTATTCAATGTTATTTTTGATGCCTTCAGTTCTTGATTCCCAGTTCTGTAACAGTGCTCTACACTTGTGCCATGAAAAGAGATTATAAACTGGGTTACATGTACATGTGCAGACTGTGTGTGCACAGGGTATTTAAGAATCAACTTCATTTCATGATTCTGAAACACATGTATATATATGTTGAGGTTTAATAGCATGTTCCACTTTAACTAAAAATAGATTTTGTAACTGTAGACCACCCCCAACCCCCCTGCTTGACTCAGACACTCTGTGCATTCTACTCAAAGGCTTTGTATGAGCAAGATGCATTTCCCACAAGAATATTATTCATAAAATTCACAATTAATGTTTTTAAAAGGCATTTGACCTTTATTGTATCATATAAAAGGCATTACTCTAAGCAAAAACCTGGTCCAAGTACATGTAGTACACAGAGATTTTGTTACAAATAGTTATGGTGAGTCCTGTCACTTATCTTGTGAAAAATCATGAGTCCCAGTCCAGAACCATTAAGTCCCAGTTCAAAAAACAATGACTTCTAAACTGAAAATGCTTGGGTATAATCTAACCAGGCAGTTACTGAATCTGAAGACAGACTCCAAAACTCTTTCTCACAGTTTACTGAATTAACCCATTCGCTCCTGGAGATTTTGCCGAAAAACGCGTTTTGAAGCTAGTCGAGTGGTTTTCTGGTCACTGTCGTGCTATAAAGGGCTAAAACTTACCACAAACCGGTTTACAGGTGGGCAATGGAACAAGATTTTCATGGAGATTTTCAGGTCAATGTCACATGGTTTTTTGCTTCTTTCTCCGGTGTCCTTGACTGAATTGTGCTCATTCTGGTATGGTTTGAAAGATCTCTTCACTCTACACAAGTTAGCGAAAAAATTTGTCCTTGACTGTTAAAACTGATGACGTCACAAAGGGTAGAAAGGACCTGGATCCGCACGGGAGGTTACGGGCGGTTCAGGGGCGAATGGGTTAAAATATAGTCCTTCCATTTAAACAGCAAAAATGAGGGGACTAAAATAAATATGTATCGTTAAACAACAGCCACATTAACAGCCACAGAAATCACACAAAGACGATTTTCTAGAAAGACATCTTTGGATCAATCAATCGATTGTTAATTTATGTCTGATTGTAGAGCTTGATGATAGAGTTCTTCAATGCCAGAATGCAAGAAGCAAAGTTAAACACAGCTCCTGGTAACCCAGTTATTGCTGCACAAATCAACTTGGAACAGAATTTTGCCTTTATTGAGGTACATGTATGGCTGTGTGTTTTGATGGTGATTTCATTGACTATGTCTCTATTCTTGGAACGAATACATTGTACTATACCCTGGTATTATCTTGATTAGCCTTCTTGATGATACTAACCTCATGTACCTGCAAAATGTTTTCAGCTCCGTTCAGTTGAAGAGACTACCCAGGCAATGGCATTTGATGGGATCATATTAGAGGTATTCTAAGAATTCGTGTTAGTGTGCTGAGTGTTTTGTAGATTGTATGTGTTATTGTACTGTAGTTATTGATGATTTCAGGTGGTCTTTGTCCTGTCACATCCTTCAGTTGATTACCTGTAGGCTGCTGCACACTGTACATTTGGTTACTGAATTATGATTAATTTATTTTAGGGCCAGTCACTGAAGATAAGAAGACCCAAGGACTATCAGCCCATTCCTGGAATGTCAGGTAATCTCCTATTCATTTTCCAAACAAGAACTTTAAAAATATATTCCATGTACACTGTACAGTTGTATGGACAAAAGTATAATTATTACAATACTATGTACAACTAACTACATCTATACAGTCATGTATCATTAATATTTGCATACCGTATTAATTATTATAGTTGTTGTCAACATAAAAGATAAAAAACATCTACAGGTAAAGCATATATGCAATGGTTTATTACATGTATGAGAACTAGAAACATTAAGAACTTACAGTTTTAACTAATGAGTCTACTCTGGTTTAATTTTATCCTTGGTTTAAATGCATTAAATTCATTATCGTCCATTAACAAACTCAAAAACAAGTACATTGTATATAAGGAGGAGGATGCATAAATTATAGAAATTTTACTATTTTGTCGTACTCTGTGGATATCCTCAGTAAAGACTGATTGTTTTTAATGGGCAGCTGTACATGTTTGTTTGTGTTGCTTTGCAGAAACAGCAACAATTCATGTCCCGGGTGTGGTTTCAACAGTTGTACCAGATTCTCCTCACAAGATTTTCATTGGAGGATTACCAAACTACTTAAATGAAGATCAGGTAAAGTTGGCAGCATAAGGGAGTGTTGAGTGGAAAGCATCACAGGGTCAAGTCAAGATTCTGTGTATGATTAAATAATTGTCACATTGTAGACAAATAATTATTCTAAATCTTTCAAGAAAGCTTGAGAAGGAAGAGTATGCTATGATATGAATTGAAGAATTAGCTGTTCCTTTTGAGTTGTCTTTTTTTGGTACAGTGTTTCACATCATTGTAATAAATTATTAGT